TTTTGAACATCAACAGATTCTGATACAGTGTTCTCCGTATCATCTTCTTCGATTTCACCCTCCTCTTCCTCAATTTCATTCTCCTCTTCAATCTCTTCCCCGCCATTTTCTACACCAATCTCCTGCAGTGGTACCTCTGGAGCGTAATTGGAGTAAAACTCACCCCAAATTCTGTTGATCAGGCGAGTTGTTGTTGCTTGCATAGCTTTCTTCTTGGATACCACATCTGTTATACCTGCCCTTGGATTGAAATTCTCTTTCTTCTGCACAATTTTTTTCTTCTTGATGACCCATTTTGTGTGGTGCCTATCCTCCAATTTACTTGCAAGACCAACAATAAATGGACACCTTCTGATATCCTTTTTAGGATATTCTGCAAAAAGCTGCAAGATTATTTGCCCATGGACAACCACATATCTCTCCACAGCCTTGGAATCAGAAGAAATGTAAGCTTTATTGTTCTTCTGGAACTCAGACAGTCTTTTAATGACATCTGCAAATGAAAGCCTAGAAATTCTACTTTGCTCATCAAGCATTGTAATAATGCTTATCGCAACCCTTGCTGTTTTCAGAACCGGTTCATACCAAAGGGAATATTGCTTCGAAGGTTTCCCAAGTCGATACCTGCATATGCATGATATGTCAGCAACAAAGAGCAAAACAAAGACGCAGACACATGTGGTACAGATACTAGAATAGACAACTTACCAGGCCACATCTGTTCGGAATGAAATGGAGACCATTCCCGCCCCAAACTCAATCATCCATTCCTTAATTTCACTAAGGAATATGGCCATCCCACCAAGATCCTGTTGCTGGGAACCCTGTGTAGAGCTGTCAGAATCATTGATATCAATCCAAGTTCCATCATCCTCAGTCATCACACCTGACCCATAGATGTTGATATCAATATCAGCACAAGGCTTCATCGGAAGAAGCTCCAGTGATATAAACCTTGTATCGGAGTTGTAAAGAGCCCAATTGTGAAGCATCCTGCGAGGCAGTTGGTCAACCTCATACACAGGCTCATACAATAAAAGCTCATCTGCCTCATCAACGGAATTCTTAAAATAAGCTGGGAGAGGGTAATCATTGGCAATCTCATCTTCATCAATCTTTATGTAGACTTTATTTGAAGCAGAAGCTGAGCTGCTGTTTCTTCTAGGCTGCTGCATAGATTTCCTATACTCTTCATCTTGTAGAAGTTTAGCATATCTTCTGTCCTCGTCAACACCATCAACCAGTTGATCACAAGCCAAGGCCTTGCTCTCTGCAACTTCAGAAACTCCTCCAATCCTCAGAGTCCCATTAGAAGGTTTTCCTACCATCTGCGCAGCATTGTCAAGTTTACTACTCCCGTCTCTGAGAGTAACAAGAACAGGAATCTCAGCAAAGCTTGTTTCATGTTTCTTAGCTGTCTCGTCCAAACCAGCAAGTTGGTTATATATGAATTCTCCCTGGGATATAACAAAGTCTTGGATGGCTGCACCGCTAGAAAAGCTCTTGCTTCCGCTCATTGACCTGACAACCGCTGCAAGCAACTCATCGAGACTCGTATCAGGATTCCCACCTGAAGACTTGGACACTTTCTTATACACAGCCACCGAAGCACATGCCTTCTCAAAGAAATAATCATACATCTTTTTGTAGCTAGTAGCAGGTTTAAGGCAATCATAATCTGCCAAATCAGTTGAGATCCATATCACAGGAGAGCCATCTTCATAGCCAGATATACTCCAATTCTCCACCCGTCCAAATGATTCGCACCTCACGCCTTTTTCTTTATCCTTACAATCTGAAGGTAAGATAACACCGGCAATGAATAAGTCCCCAATTTCCAACATTTCCACGGGCTGTGGAGCTCCATCAGTATCATGTAAAACGAAGTCAGTTAGCCTCCTGGTTTGACGATGTTCATCGGTCTGAAGAGAAGAAGTTAAGTGTAGAGCAACAATCTCGTCCTCCACGAACTGCTGTTTCTTAATTTCTACAGTAGCAGATTTTTCCGAGATACGGACAGATTTTTCCTTGAAATCTGTACATGCAGCAGCACGCTTAGGCCTCCTCTTACATGCATCATCCAAATCTTTGCTCTCTGAAAGAGCTCTCTTCTTTTGCTTCCCAGCTTTGGTCTTTGTCTCTGTTGTTCCATTTTTCTCCATTTGCAAAACCTATCTCGAAACCAAAATTTAAACAATCTCAAAAAAACAAGAACCCACAGACTGAATCATCAAAATCCTTCAAAATTATACATTAATCGAAACCAAAATTTACAGAAACTCGATGAAAATTACCGTAGAAGAGAGATACAGGCAAATCTAAGTCACAATTATAATGGAATCGGAAATATCTACTTGAATCCTTCAAATCTAGGTCACAATTTTCAAATATAGGTCACAATTTTCAAATCTAGTCAAAAACCCAGAAAATATCTACTTGAATCCTTCAAATCAAGGTCACAATTTCCAAAATTTAGAACGAAAACGGCTAGGGTTTGATACTCGCTGTAAACTGAGATCGACACAACGATTAGAGAGAAATGAAGGAGACTTACGATTAGAAACGAAATTCGCAGGAGAAATGCGAAAGCAGAATCGCTCAGAGAGAGATTGAAGAGAAATCGAAAGCTAGGGTTTTGAGAGGTCTGAGAGGATTTGGGGATATAAGACGGAGAGTGGTGGGTGATAAGAGCGGCAATAAACGGCGCCCAAAATGTTTTAAAATGTGTAAAAATGGAAGAAAATCCCCGCCTCAAAAGCTCTTCACATTCTAGGGCAGACTCATCCAAAACATTATACAGTCAAATGCTCATTTAATTCTTTTTTTAAATTTGAAAAAATTATTTAAATTTCTAAAATCGTAGTATTAATTCCATAAATTTACGTAAAAATTAACGTTAATTAAGAAAAAATAAATGTTATGTTGTGTGCAGAAATTAAATTCCTAAAATAACAGTATTAGTTTCATAAATTTACGTATGAAAAAATTAACGTTAACTGGAAAAAAAAAGTTACGGTTGATTTGTTGCGTCAAATTTTGAAAAATCATCATAACTAGAGTAATTAAAATACTAACTTATTAGTTAGATAATTGTTCTATAAAATTTCAAAATTAAATAATCATTTATAGATAAATCATTAAAGTTTATTCATAGCAGCTTTCAAAAGTTTTTTGTAACATTAAAAATTATTAAATTTGAAAAAGAAAAAAAAATTGTATACAACGACATAAAACTTAATTTTTATTAGAAATTAATAGTTATTGGAAATTATTTTGTATTAATTTTTATTATAGTTAGCATAATAATGT